TAAAATAGTCGTGGAAAAGCGTTCAGCTATGAAGCTAGAGTTGGAGGTGATCTGGAAAAGAGGAGGAAAGCAAACGAAACCACCCGCACCCAATCTCGTAGTGTGCTTTTTAAAACGGAATTCAGAGCATTACACACTTATTACCTGAGACTCGAGGAGGGCGAGATTGCTTGCAAGTGATTGAAGAACTGAATGTATATCCGGTATATACTGATAGCAGTCGTTTTATGGGAGACCACCACGTTGGCGTTTGTTGGCAACTTAACGTATCCATGAAATAACCTCAGCATGTTCCTGCATGTGTAAATGGGAATAACACAACAATTTGAAATCATCTATTTATTTTATACCAGATTAGTCCCCCGTCAACCGCCGGGACCTTCCTTTCCTGCGCAAGCTTTCTATCCTCCGCTATGGTCCCTTCCTCCTGTGACACCAACACCTCCTGGAAGTGACGCGTATGCAACACAATGGTGTTTCATACAGTAGAAGGGACACAATCATGATATGACGGTAGATTTTTCGCTTCCCTTCCTCATCCTCCCTTCCTCTCTCCACTGCCCTCCAGCTGCCACTGCAGCACCATGTGGAATGAACGGAAGTGTGCTAAGCAGGTGTTTATATAGCCCTAAGAGTGTTATCACAACTATCCTGCTACAAAACATTGATATCTCAAATCCTGTAAGCTACCCGATTTGTTAGCGGTTTGTTTATCCCATGAGCTTCCTTCTCACTCACTTCATTTTGCGGGACGGACACACACATACATACATACACACACACGCACACACATACAGACACACAAACCGACACACAAAGTTAGCGCTTTATAAAAATAGAAGGATTTTTGAATTCATTGTTAGGCTGTTGCCGTGCTGAGCGGGGGGTCTTAGGCGCGTTCATAGTGTCGCGATCTCGGTGAGGATCAGAATATGTGTGGCCGGCTAGGGTACTGAAGATAAGTAGTAGATTTGGGAGACTGCGCGAACAAGATTGGATGACGTATCGATTGAAAATAGGCTTATGGAGAGTATTAGATGAGAGACTAAGCGAATATATCAATTAATATCTAATATGTGTGGTTCGGCGCGCTGATTGTACCGACTACTTACTACTATCCTAAAACACAGACGCTCATGTTCTTGGAGAGACATCCAGTTGGTGAGCCAAATTATTCGTGCTTGTTACTGAAGCTTGGTGAGCAAGGGATTCTATGGGACATCGGAGCAACGGCAACGTTATTTTGGTGAGTTTGTAGGGGGGGGGCGTACTTGCTTAGGTTGTAAGAAGTTGGCATGTGATGAGTGGGGAGCGGCGCGGGAGAAAATTTGCCGTTTCAGCGCGCGTATGTATATCCCCTAGAAAATGGAGCAGTTGAAATATGGGGTAAAACATAGGGAAATTGTAAGGAAATGTAGGGAATTTTTGCGGTTTTAAGGGAAGTATATGTGCCCCCTCCCCCCCCCCCCGCTCGACGGTAATTTTTTGGGGTAAAAATTGGTCGGAAAGGGGGGGGGGTCGTAGGAAACTTTTCCTGAAGGAGGGGGGTCGTAAAAACTTTTCGAAAAGTAGCAACGATAGGACTGACCCTGCCTGGGCTTAGGTGCGTGGTGTCACCTGCCATCGGCCTTGTTGTTGATGTCCCCCCCCCCCCCCCCTAAGGACATGAGCGCCAATCGCACTACTCTCCGGCGATTTCAGTGGATATGTATCTAATCTTGTTAACGCAATCTCCTACTCTACTACTATCCCGATCTTCCGTTAGTGGGTTGTGGTTTGTGTTGTTTGTTGTGTGTGGTGTGTTGTATTTTTAATGTTTTGTTTTATGTGGTTAGAGATACTTAGAGGAATGCGGGGGTGAACTGTATCTCTGCTCATCAGCAGTTTTAATCTGGAGGAATTAGACAGAAAAGGTCGAACTCCAGATTCGGCATCGCTCACCAGACGAGATTGGGCATCCGTGTGGTTTTTGTCTAGTGGGACTCATAGCTTCCATAAAATGCATTTCACATGGAAGTTGTCTGCCCGCGATATTTTGTTGATCACGGATTTAGTGTCATTCGTGAGAAAAAATATTTGGCTCTGCATAAGCAGGCCAACAAAGAACATCAGCTTTTTTGGCGAGGCGTTTATAGTGTGGTCCGATCGTTATTTGCTTTGTGTCGTTGAGTGTTTGTATGGCGAGTGGCAGGATGGTTCAAAATTTGAAGAAGTGATGCGGGAGATTAGCGATTAGGCGAGTAGGCCGATCAGGCGATACGGTAAAAGTGGGTATTTAGTATGCGGATCGATTAGGCGAATCAGGCGGTAGGCGAGTAGGCGATCAGGCGAGTAGGCGATTAGGCGAGTAGGCGATTAGGTGATATCTGGATTGTATGCAACACTTTGACAAGATCTGCTTTTACCAACTAGTAGTCTAGTGTATGGGTGAGAAGCTAATATGCATGTGCGCCTCAATTTTGACGACTAAGGAGTGCGCCGGTGGTGTGTGCAAATCGCGCCTAATCGCCTACTCGCCTGATCGCCTACTCGCCTACTCGCCTACTCGCCTAATCTATACGTATATTTTTCATTTAGACTAATCGCCTAATCGCCTAATCGCCAACTATGAACGCTCCATTAGGCTACGACATTGACCTGTCAGACCTGCGGCCAATGCTGAATTCGCATAATTTCTATCCTTGACCGTGACTTCGATTTAACCTTTTCCTTGAATTAGCAGAGAACCATGCCAAATGTCTATTTCATTAACCCTTTGGCGACAATGGCACCCACCGGTGGGTGCCACTATGACCGTCGCGTGGGACAATGGCACCCAATGGTGGGTGCCACCCTAAAATTTTCTTCTTTACCCATTTAAAACATTTTCAACATATCAGTAATTATAAGCAAGCTCCGTTACGCCTATGTTTAGCATATTTTGCAGAAATGTTTGTTACTAGCTAATTTATATGAAATTTTAGGATATGGCACTTCGCTCGGCGACATATTAACTAGTGTTTTACATTATTAAGCTTAAGGTGAATTACTGATCAGGACCTCTACGTCTTTTCATAGTCTTAAGACACAAGGAGGAGTTTGAACTATATCGAAAATTCTACTGTACATATGAACTTCTAGAGTTTTTACCACCATCCCTTTGAAATCCGAGTTCTCTTTCCAAATTTCCACTTCTAATTCCAACAATACATGATATAAAGCTTAAGACTGCAGTCATATTTGTTATTGTCAAAGTCAAAATTTTGATAGAAAAACTGCTTTTAGGGACAATTTTGCCCCATTTTGTGCGAGAGTTGGGCGCGCCAAAAAGAGGCGTGGTCCCACGAGCACGCTACGTGCAAATCCGCATTGTCGTCAAAGGGTTAATACACACTATCATAGCATCATAACAGAGCCTCTGAATTCCATTCTTCACGGATCTATGTACTTAGTTCAAACTGCCAGAAAAATTTATTGCTAAACTTTGATCACTGCCACAATCTCGGCTTTTCCGGCGAAAGCTGTGTTGCCGAGTCCTAGGCCACCAACCACGATGTGGATCAGATTTTCCACTTATAGCCACATCAGCGACCGTTGCCGATGATGTGTTGTAGATGTCTCTGAATTGATAGCAATACAGTTCAGAACATGCACTGAGCAAGGTAAAATCAAAGAGAGTCTGAAAGCGACAGTCCAAGCAGGGTCTGTTGCTTTCAATACTATTGGGATTGAAGGATGCAGTAGCCCTAGTGGAGAACATATGAAGTGTAAATGTTAACAGAACTCACCTCTGAAAGCCGCAAAAAGGGCGTCAAACTCCTCAAAATGGGTGTGGTCGGAAATTCTTCGGGAACGCCCACTTGCCAGCCGTGATTGGCTGCGGAGGCATTCGTGATCGTTTTGGGACCACAGGGAGTATTTGAACTCGGTCCTTTGAGCAATCAATGTGGTGATGCCTGACTACGCTGGATTTCCACATTTTTTCCTTCTACCTTCTACCTTCAAAACA